ATCTCCAAGTCCAATTTGATTTATTGCTTTAAGATCAAAGTAAACTTTTAATTTATTACTAGTTTTACTTTCATTTTATAACTGCTTTTTATGACACAGTTCAGGCTATTACCCTACTCTGTATGACATCTACAATCTTGATTTAAGAAACCACTTGGAGATCACGTGCCATAACTGACTTTTATTGATGAAATATAAATGCTACAGTAAATCCGTTCATGAAGTCCATGTTAAATTACTAGGTACATGTCGAACTTGTTAGCTGAAAATGAAAAGTCTTGCTGATTTCAGCTATTTTTTGCTATAAATAAATTCTAATTGGCAATAGTGTGAAAAAAAAAAGACCTGTCAAAGGGTAGATGAGCTTCTTATAGAAGCCAATGGCCATCTTATATATATAGACCCCATCCTATACTTATACAGGGTGGCCACTGAAAAACTGAATGATATAAAACAAAAATAACTTTTACAAACACATGAGTATCTTGGGGAAGTAAAGTTTGGTCCATTTGAATCTTGTATAGAAATATTTTTAAATCCAGTTTCAGAATCTTCTGAAGGAATGTTCTGGTGATGCCTATTTGAGTAGAACAATGATGAGTAGGATCATCAAGGACATTCTGCCGTACAGCTTCCACCGCTGCATCAGGGAGTACAGTGCACTTAGGACCTCTTGATGGAAGCTTGCTGATGGATCCAATTCTTTCAAACTGGGTGATTAGGTTCCGAATCATGTTATCACTTGGAGATAAAATGACATGAAAATGTTGCCAGTATTTTCTCTGAGTTTGAATAATTGATCTTTCATTGGAACAGAAAAACTCAATGAGTTTTACTTGTTACTGGACATCATACATAGCCATTTTAATCTCCAAGGGATGCTCTATTACCTGCTAAAATAAGAAAATAAAGAAGATTAAAAATGAACAAGTTATCACTTTTGCTATCCCTTCAGGTTTTCAGTGGCCACACTATATATATATATATATATATATGCACTCTTGAGAAGAATTTGAAACTGTGCCCCCTGGAGAGAGAGAACTGTTGTTAGATCAGATATGCTTTAACCAACTCAGCCACAAAGAACCTTTGCCAATTAAGCAAAGCTGAATAGTTCACTTAAACAAAATTCTTCTCATTATAGACTCTTAAAATTTAATATCAGCTCAGTTTTTAGAAAATGCTTTGTTTACATTTGTAAACAAAGCATTTTCTAAAGATGCAATGGATTTTATTAAGCTGACAGATTTTATCATAAAGTGATAAAATCTGTCAGATTAATGTGATTTTTAGTAGATATCATATGTGATATTTGCATTTATTTATTAAATAGTATATTTATTCATTTTCATCTACCAAACCTAGGATGTGATCTGAAGCCTTGAATGGCAACCTTCCTAGAGATGGTTTTTTGATAAAAACATTTGGTGTACTTAGAATACCGTGAATTTCTGAGTTGGGTATCATGAATAGCATACAGACTTGCCTCAAACCATCATGACAAATCCTCTGTCGGACAGTACTCACCTTGCTTTGTTTGAGATTAATCCCAGTCCTACCTTAACAAATAAACACAGCTATATATGTCTGTTTGTGAGAGAAAATGAGTGAGACACTCATCTCAAATGTTTCAGGTTGTTTAATGCATAGTTAAGGTTGCTTTTTTATTGTAAACAATTGTTCTCCGTGACCCTCAGATGAAGGCCCTGAAAAAAATCATTTTTAAAAGGATGATTCTAGTATGCATTTGCATGGTTATAACTTAATATCTTTAGACAGATATTTGTTCCAATCAGGATGTGTGGGTGGTGTAATGGATAGTGGCTCAAAATGAGAAATTAGAGAGCTGAGTTCGAATTCCAGTTAGGTTCATTACATCCACTTATACACAAATGCCCTTGGGAACAGTCTGAATCCTCTTCCTCCTCTCTTCCAGCTATGGATTAAATATAGTAAGACATATCTGGAAAAATTGCTATTCTCAAAAAAAAAAAAAATTGCTAAAAATGAACTATTCTTACAATCCAGGATGTGTTTTGGCTTTAAATAACCCACAAGAGGTTGATAAACTGTAAAGAAAAAAAATCAGTCCTTGAAATTGGCATATTTTTCATTCTGTGCTTATCCTCATCATTGTCAAATTTATTTATTGGATACATTTTAGATTTCTGGTATTTTTTGTAAATTTTGTTTTAATAAGAGTGTGAATTTTTTTTTGTTTTCTTTTCATATTTTTTATTTACCATGTTGAATTTTAAAATTTTGACCAGCAATCACAAGCAAATATTTTACACAATTTTTATACGTATTCCTACTTTTTCTAAGTCTCAGTTATGAGTACAAAGTAAATTACAATGCAGATTACTTCTAGAGCATAATTTCCAGAAATCCTTTCAATATGAGCAAAGAAAAGGATGTATGATTGTTTTATTTGATATTTTATACAGTTTTACACAACCTTGGTCATTTGCATACTAACTATTGAATTTAAGAAAATGATATTCATTAAATCCAGGAATCTACAGAACTTGCTTCTTTGTGAAATGAGGAATTTACTGGATTTAAGGAACACACTCCTGACTTCATTAGTTCTTCAAACCAAGGTTTTACTCTAGTATGAATTTGAACTCATAACCCATAAGTAATCAATTCTACAGACAGACTACGAATAATTTCATTTTACGAATATAATTTTTTTAGTTTTGAGTAGATTGTCTTTCAACCACTCACACAATCTTACTTAGATGGCTATTGTAGAGTAATGATCTTACAAACCATTCACAAATGTAGGAACTTTGATCATTATTCATCTCGTGCTGTTGTAGCCTTGTGCCAAACTTAGTAAATATTTAATAGATGTCTAGGGATTGCTCGATGACCAAGATAGTTGCATGTTTCCTGTAAGTACCACTGGTCTGTAAAGGGTTGCCAGATTGGGCTACTTTCTAAAGACCATTATTACTAAATTGTGAATTTAACTACTTGTGACTTTTAGATTGCTTTTAAAATGGTAATGGTAATTTTATCAGTTTTATTATGAGGAAACTTTTTAGCATTCATTGACTGGCCATTAGTGCTATTGTCAGTTGAAACTTATAAAATCATTCTCTTAAAACAATGTTTTTAAGAAAATAAGCTTTTGAACCCTTACTGTTATTACTCTTTCCAGTTTTGATGGCGGTTTCCTTCCTAACCTTTTATTTGAAGTAGTGTGGAAAGCCAAAATCTTGATTAGGTCAATATTTTCTCTCCATGTTTCATGTGCTATCCATTTTAGTTGTTGCTGTTCAAAGCCCTAAAGTGATGTTTCTGTTATTGGGTATAATTCTTTGTTTGTGATTCTGTAGCACCAGTCTACAAGGTTCAAAGAAGAATCATTGCTAAGACCTAAGAAGAAAGTCAATTCAAAATTTAGTAGCACTGTGCTTTCAAATTTAATATATATATATTTGTGTATAAGCCAACGTCATATATAGTGTGATTCCTGAATTTTAACCTGTCCAGAAAAGATTTACTTGTGTATAGTGCCACCATATAGGTCACCAAAAATGCATGATTTTAACCACTTCAAAAAAAAATGACCTGTGTATTGGGCAACCCCTATTTTTTGTCGTAAAAAACTGATCATAAAAACTCATACTATACTGTTATATACGCTAGTCCAATCTGGTTTATTTGTTTTATTTGACAGCTTATCAACAGTTTCCAGATTGTTTAATGTCAAATTCTATCATTTTGATAAACAATAAAAAGATAGACACTATTTTGTTTGGCCAAGAGTCAAAAGTTAAACACAAAATGGCTTTCCACAGATTCTGTTTCTTTTAATATCTGTGAATTGCCATGACTTAATGGGAATGTTAATGAAGGTTTTTCTTATTGCCTTCTCCATGGTTTTTAATTCTCCTAGACTGGCTGTCACCAAAGGCTAAAGAGCCTAGTCTATCCTGCTACTTAACCCATAGCTAAATGGAGAAGAGATGTATTTCCCAATGGTATTTGCATGAAAGTGAATGCAACAAACTATACAGGGATTTGAACTCTGATTTCATTTACTGCACTAATAACAGTTATTTTATCCTGACATTTTAGCCCAGTCTTAAAACGGCTCTGTGTTTGAACCCTTGGTAATAAGCTGGGATTACAAGGTAGATGGGTAGGCTTTTAGAAGATGAATGTAACACTATTTTTCTCTCCAGAACACACCCCAAAGCCAAAGAAACCTTAGCTAAGTAAATCTCCACATATTTTCTTCAAATGTTATGGGGGAAAATATTTTTATTTATTAAACAGGATATATTACATTTGCATCTGTGTCTAATACGAAGTGTTCACTATAATAACATTTGAAGTAATAAAAATGTTGGATTAAAAATTAATTCTTGAAAAATGTCCATGTATTAAAATTATGTCTAAATCGTGTTTAATTTTCTGGTGAACAAAGAATTGGCAAAATGTAATCACTGTACAGTTTAAACTGCTTAATTCAATTTCATATATGGAAAGGCTTGAAACCACTTTTCCCTACCATCAATCTCATTGCTAGTTGTCTTATCACTGGTATGACATAATTGTAGACAGAAAATAATGGGTAGAGTGAATAAATGAGCAATCCACTCATGTTAACGATTCTGTTTCTATGGACATACATTCTATGGATATACATTTTTACACAGTGTACATTGACTACTGTCAGCATATACATTTCCAAGACTCTGAAATGTCTGTCTTTAGTATTTATGTTATAAACTAACTTTAGTGCTTAGTAGTAACTCCAAACTTGTCTAGACATAAAGCATAATATAATACAACATGTATTTTTATTATATTGTGTGTTAAGGGTGTCATTTAGTTGAGTCTGTATTGCAGAATGTCCAATCAAAAATGGCACCCATAACAAAATATTGCCACCAGTGAGTCACAATTTCTTATTTTTTCCAAAATGGGCCAGCTAGGCAACAATACTTATAACAATACAACAGTGAAAAGTGTTAACTTACCTGCTTAGATAGTAAGTGGCTGCCATATGCATTGTTAACCTTGACAATTGGAGATGAACTTAGTTAAAACTGTTATTTTTTGTTTTTGTAGATGTGTATTTTTGAATAGTAAATCATAATCAGATTTTTTCTATGGAAGTTTATCTTGCAAAATATATCCATTCTGGTAGTTGAAGTTTTTTTCCTTTCTTTTCTTTTTTCTTTTCTTTCTTTTTTTTTTTTTAAGAACCAATAAAATAACATCATTTCATGTTAAGAAAATGAAGACATTTTATCTGAAATGTTATCAAAATAACCTTATTACATAGAACTGTCAAATACCCTGGTCCTGGGTCAGTGAAATTAAATCATATGATGACATTAAATATGACTGATACCCAAAAGGAGGTGGTACCCTGTTTACAGCAAGATACAAATTACAAGTGTATGATTATAGGTTTGCAGATTATAATTAGAGTAATCGTCATATAACCTTGTTTTGTTTTCTTCATATTATATCATTCTCTCTTTTTAATAAGAATCTGAAAGGATGAGGCAAAGACTGATTATAAACCAAAACAAATTAATTATTCTTGCTATAGCAACAAAATTTATATCACCAAAACAATGTCATAAATGGAATTTACAAAAGCTTTTTTATTTTCATGAAAGGAAGTATTATCAGCCATTATTATTAATATTCAACTAGTATTTACTTTCATCTTCATTATTAGATGAAACATTATCAACCATTGTTATTAATATTTGACTAGAATTTACTTTCATCTTCCTTATTAGATGAAACATTATCAATCATTGTTATTAATATTTGACTAGTATTTATTTTCATCTTATTAGATAAAACATTATCAACCATTATTGTTAATATTCGACTAGTATTTACTTTCATCTTCATTTCTATTAGATGAAGCATTATCAACCATTATTAAGCAAATTTTCTTGATGGATAAACAAGTAAGCAGAGACTGATTGCAAAGGTTTCACAATGCCCAGCTTAAAAGAAATTTCCTTACTCATTCACCTGTCTTCCTTACCAAGCTACCTGACACACACTCTTCCACACTTTCTCCCTTTCTTCTTTTTTCTCCCACATAAAATGCAAAATCACATTTCTTTTCTTCTCAATAAACAACTACAAACAAGGACTGTAAGAACTTTAACACACATTACATGCTAAGAAAAATTTAGTTGTAAAAAACAAAAAATATCTTATATTTTTATATTTAAAAATCTTGTTCTTTGTGGGTTGATTCAAATCCACAACAGAATTATTTAAATTGATTTGTTTAAAATCATTTCTGCTGATTTATGAAATCATTTCTACCATTAATTTTCAAAATAAATCAGAAAATTGTATTTAACTTTCCTGCCCCCCCCACAAGAAAAACATTAGCCTCTAAAACTTTTATATAACTTGACATGCAGAAATGGGTTTCATCTCAGAAAATAAGTACAACCAAAAAAAAAAAAAAATACTTAAAATCATAACAACAAATAAATAAATGTTTACAGTTGGATATAAGATCTAAATAAAAATTAAAAGATTCATTTTATTAGATGGCCAGATAAAAAAAAATATAGAATCAAGAATATTTAAAAGTTAATGTCTAATTTAGCACACCACCTTTTTATTTTGTGGCACCCTGCTTGTCATCAGTTATAAAGTTTGACTAGCATTTCTTTCATCATCAACGATAGTTTAATATTTGAATGTTATTAGAGGCTTGTTCTTTATTTCTTATCCACAATAAAAAGCAACAGAAATGTTTGGCAAAAGTGAAAAATAGCTGACATAGCTTCACCTCAGAAACTCAAACAATTCCACACTATTGTTCTTATAGTATAAAAATGAGAAATAAGATGAAAGAAATACAAGTCAAAAATTAATAATAATTTCTGATTGGGATTAAAAAGTTTTTTTATCTTTTCTTTCAGTTACTGTAATTCCCTATGTATAATACACATTTTTTCTGAAAAATAATAAGAAAAATTAGATGTGCGTATTATGCACAGATACAAAAAACCTTTATAAAATTGCTGTGAAATAAGATAAGAATTATCATAAAACTAAATTAAAATAATATTATTATTTAAAACATTTTTTCTTTTAATAAGAGTATGAAACACTGGCCATAATGAAATTGGAGAAGTATAATTTATATGGTTTGATTACCAAACAAGGGATGCATATTATGCATGAGTAGAAGCATTTTCCACACTCAGCACAATTTTAGGTGTGCGTATTATGGATGAAGGTGCATTATACATGTGGAAATATGGTAAATATTAATTTTTATGCCATTATTCTCTTAAAAGTCAGCTAGGATTTTGGTTTAAGTAGAATAAGCTACAAATTTCTCATAATTGAGAGGTCGTTTGCTGTTAGGGTTGCCAACTATTCTTTATTAGAAAGGACAGTCATTTATTTAGTCCATCTGTCCGTGTTGAATTTGGAAGGTAAAAAAAAAATGTTATTTTCAGTTATATTGTGTATCTACAAGAATCAAATTGAAAGTTACTTTTTACATGAACTTGGTAACCTTGATAACTTTGAAAATAAAGGATTTTTCTGGAGGGTTGTCAACTAGCCTTAGAAAGGATAATCCTTTATTTAGTTCTTCCTGCCCTTTCCTTAAAAAAAAAAGGTAAAAAATGTGTCATTTTCAATTACATTGTCTAGCTACAGGAATTAAATTAAAAATTACTATTTATATATATATATTTTTTTCATTATGTCCTTTACTATAACTTGGCAGAGTTGGTGACTCAACTTGCTGCAATACACTTAAATGTCTTATGGGCACCTCGAGGCGGTGTAATGGTTAGCAAGCTTGGCTCGCTAGAACAATTACAACTGAGTAGTGAGTTCGATCCTCACTGGGTGTCCCCTAATTTCGGCCTTGTGCCACATCTAAACTACACTTGGAAAATCACTACACTTCAATGTTCTATTGAAGGAAATTTCAGTTATGCTTGCTCTTTGTTAAAAAGGGTACTATACCAGGGATCTCAAATATATAGGCACAGCTCTAGAACTCTTGATGGTCAGAGATTGGCAACTGATCTCTCTTCCAATCTAGTGGTATAAAAATGGCTGGTCACATTCAATGCCTCAATAACCAAACTAGTTATATTTCATCATTGCCAATCCGACCCTGAACTACTTACTACCAGTCACGAAGAATGGATGTCCACTCAGGGAAGCACCATGCCTTGAAAAACTCAGGCTTCAAACTTGCACCTAACCTCATGTGGATTTCATATATACAATCCGTTGTTAAGAGTGAAATGTAAAATGGTTGGCTCCCTGTACCACACCCGTAAGTACCTGAATCCTGCTATCCTCTACATTTTACAAGAGCCAGCTCAGGACAAAAATGGAGTACTGCTGTCATATTAGGGCAGGTGCTACCCAGATCTTACTCTCCAGCTTTGATAGTCCAAAAGTGTCTCTGAGCCCCTGGGGGTAACAAATTATTCTCCACCTATCAGAGGTGGAATGTGGTAAGTCTCTTTCTGTTCTATCACTACTTCTATGAAAAGGGCTCAGAGGAACTATATTTCCTAATCCTACCAGTTCAAACCTTCATGGCAAGGACATGCCATGCCACTTACATAGTAACAAACCACCCACATTCCCTCTGTATTCCATCAGTGAGAAGTAAGTTCCACTCAAACAGCTTCTTCCCACGAAGCATTGCTCTGTTGAAGCTACTCCCAAGAGTATGTTTCCCTGATATTAACCTGTTCAAGGCTAGGGTTAATCATTATCTTCCTCTTTTATCTGCACAAATTGCTTCTTAGCATAACCCTCTGAGCCTTATACAGGGTGAAACTTATAATAAACAAAAAAAAAAAAAAAAATGCTGAGAGAAAAATGTAAAAAAAAGTCCAGAAACAGGTACACCACCAGTGGGCATCAATCCGAGAGGGGTCCCATTCGTAGAAGTTCATTTTCATGCATTAAATTAGTTCAAACCACATTCACAGACTGGGTGAGATGTGGGGCAAAAACTTTTTGCAATGGGGTCAGCTTTATCTAATTCTGTCAAATTTATTATAAAATTTAAAAAAAGAGCCCAAGATATTGTCATAAAGTACTTTTATGCTCTCTTGTCAGGAAGATGAATAATATGTAGCAGTGAGAAGGTCAAGTTTTCTTCCCTTCCCTGAAGGGACTAGAACAGACCCAGCTACCCTTAAAATAGATTGTCTGTTGGCACTTGGTGGGTAGGTTTAGCTCAATGCTGCTACTGCGAAAGTGTGGAAGAGGCGACAGACAAATTTATTAAAATTTGAGGAAAATATTGGTTCCCTGTGGATCATGTGTTTGAGACCCCTGTACTAGTCCATCAGTTACTGGACTATTTGTAATGAAAGCAAGGGAAGTAACTCTTGGCTATTTACTAAACTTCGGTGAATTATTGAGGCTCGAATTCACTCTTAGTTTCGCCCAATTACACATGGTAAATTTTAATGTGAATTTAGAAATCAAGGGAAGTAACTCCTGTTAACTTAATACTAACTCTTGAACGTCAAATGTTTAAACTGTGTTCAAATAAAAGGAGACACATGGATAATTTTAGGCCAGTGATTCTGAAAATATCGGATCACGTCTTGTGATTCTAGGTTTCCTCAATTCCACTCTCATTTTATGGGTTTACCTGTGACGGCTCTTCACATTTTCCTTTCAGTCATGTTGAGATATGTGTTTTAGGTTCAAGTTAATTTATGCAGATTTAAACAATGTGTGTTTTTTTTTTTCACGAGGACTAAGGCTTAAGATTTAATTTGTTTGATAAGTGTGCAAAAAACCTGAAAGATGAATTGCTTGTTCGTTTTTACGGCTTATCAACCCTTTTCAGGTTATTTAAACTCAGAAAATATTTTTGGATTGTAAGATTTTTCTTTTTTAGAGATAATAATGATTTACTAATTAACCCATAGCTAAGGGGAGAAGTAGATTCATACCGTTCCCAAGGATAACTGCGTTAAGTGAATGTAAATAACTCAAATGGAATTGGAACTTGGCTCTCTGATTAACAATTTCGAGTCATTATCTATTACACCACCAGCACCTTCTATTCCCAAGCGGTCACCCATCTAGGTACTGAACAGACACGACATTGCTTAACTTCGGTGATCGTACGATAACCGGTGTTTCAACGTGATATGGCCGTTAGACAGAAAAAATTGACGTTTCTTGCACTACGTCTGTAATCCACATTTTACAAACAGCAATAACTGAATAGTCCCAAAGAAGCAGGTTTTTTAATGAATTGTAATCGCCTGTATAGTTGTACATAATAGTTCGTCTATTGTCCGGTTCACACTCCTCTCCGGTTTTTTAAACTGGAGTAGAGGTTTATTTCTTGTTTCCTGTTTAGGATTGGGTTTTCGGTTTTTCCTAAAGTCTGCTTCAGCTCTGTAGTACTAATGCTTGTTCTTTCTTACGCAAATATAAGTCCACACAGTAACCCTGTGTGTGTGTAAAATTCAAACAAGTGTTAGTTACCACTAGGATAAAAAAAAAGTATTCATTTAGGGAAAAAAAGAATCAGATAAAAAATATATGATCTGGAATCTGTAAAACTTAATATAGCCCCAATTCACGTTTTATTTTATGTGGCCCCTCTTTACTTACGAAAAAGGAAACAGCTACACTCGAACCTTCGTTCACCCCTTTCGTTTTTCTATTTAGTTTGCTAAGGCAATAAAAATGTTGCACTTAATTGTTTGTAATTTTATTCCTATGTTCGGTTTGAGAAAACTGCCACGAACACCAATCTGATTCCACATATTTTAGTTTACTTTTTAGCACAATTAATCGCAATAAACTAAACATTTATTTTATTTTTATACAACACAAATATCTATAGTTGTTTGTCCTAACTTACATCTGATGCTATCAGTTTCAGTTTTACGTAATTGAAAACCATAATCTAATAAATTCATAAAACTTGACAGGATGGTGGTATGGTATTGTGTGGATCTATTCCCAGCCTTGTTCGGGCAAAACACAGTTTTCTTTCTTTTTAAATTATCTATTTAAACTCGTTCGTTCTTTTTCATTTTTTTTTTTTTTTTTCAAATCAATCTATCCATCCATCTCAGCTTGTTCTTTCTTTTTTTCTGCACACAAAGGTACCACCGAAATGAAAGCCAAAAGTCAGGCCATGATCCGACTCAAATGATATTTTCAGTACTTATTCATGAATGAATGAATGAATGAATGAATGAATTGTATATTGAATAGGTTATTTTGTTGGAAAACTTTGAGAATTTGTTTGGGGGGTGGGGTCTGTCCACACACACACACACACACACTTCGATATCTCGTATGCATAGTTTTAAATTTAAAGAATGATCGCAATATTTTTTCATATAAATAAAAATAGATATTGCAATAAATATTTATGCTCCATCAAGTGTGAATATACAGATAATTCTTCCCAAGACTAACCAAAAATAATTCAATGAAACTCAGAAATTTTTTTTTTCTCTTTGAAATTTGTTACTTGCATAATTTTTTAATAGAACTAGGTAGCGCTATAGACTTCTTAAAATGAAAAAGAAAAGCATTTTATTTTTATATAATTTACATGTCTTTGAAGTTAAATTCTGGTTTTACTTGAAAGATAGGGAATGTAATCCGTATTAAAAGAAATATCAATTTTCATATCTAAATAAAACAGAATTCAGGTATTTTTTAAACATTGGCGCATTCACTCGTCATCGAACCAACGTTAAATTTAAAAATGTCTTAAAAATCCAATATTTCTCCTAGAGATGTGTTTCGAAGTTAATAAATGTAAGCAGAACTAGATTTTGTAAGCGTCATGCTTACTTTTTGCTTAAAACTTAATGAAAATGACGTTTTAATTATTCACGGTAGCCTTTGAGGTCATAGGTTAAAAACAGAAAATATATAATTTCACTCGCTGACTTAAGGAGCACGCGAAAAATTAAAAATAGAAATTGAAGAAATATGGAACAATAGCAGTGCAATAGACAAGAAATTGGTAATACCATTTTAATAAACTTAGTATAATGAATATTTTTTTTATTAGAGGTATAAAAAAGAATTTAATTAAAATAAATTAAATATATTTTTTAGCTTAATTGATTACTTTTATTTATTTATTTTTCTTACCTGTTTGATGTCATTAAATATTTAAATTCACCCAGTGAGGTCTTTTTTATTATTATAATTATTTTGAATTTAAGAGCCAATGAATTATCGTATCTTATATTATTCTTCCGATAGGAAAGAATAGTCAAAAAAAGCAATAATTCAGAATTATTTCCTTTTTGAACATCCATACAAAAAAATCTAACTCGTTAAAAGGAAAAAAATAAATTCATGCGCAACTGAAAAGCAAAAAAAAAAAAAAAAAAAAATCCAAGGGAGATAACTATTAAATAATAATTAAATTATACATTATTTGCTATTTTTCTCATAACGATCAAACTATCGGATGGATAGAGTCACAAAACACTGAAAACTGTTTTATAACTTCATTGGTTAATACCCCAAATTCAAAAATCCATCGAATCGAGTTTTATTTGAGTTGAATAGGAAAGAAGAACAGATTACAAGTTTGTCTTTTATATACCGCCTCCCTTCAGGTAATGGGGCGATCATGGCTCTTCACAACTTCCTACCCCGTGTAGCCTTTAGTAGTGTTTGTACCTTTGCCAAGCCTCCAAGCACCCTTTCCGCCATCTAGTCACACAAGCTTGTCAGGTAAGTGGTTCGCTGTCCAAGACATTTCAACTATTGCTTTTTTTATTTTTATTCTGAATATAAGGGATTTTAGTCATTATCTTTAAGACAGCCTTGTTATTTGCTCGCTTCGTTCATGGAAGTCATGGGTATAACCTATATCCGGTAGCAAGGTCACAATTGGAGGTTTTAAGGAGCGTGGAACCATCTCTTAATTGCTGCTGTTCCCAGGTCCACCCTGACCTAGGGAGTTAGTATCTGTTAGAGCTCCAGCTATGGGCAAATAGTGAATCCTCAAACACTATGAAAGTATGAAAATACATTTTTATAGTAAAAATACGAGCAATACATTTTTATATATAAAAAATACCAACGATATATATTTATAGTAAAATTACCAACAGAAGATTTTATACCAAAATGACCAACAATACATACATTTGAAGCCATAAAAACTATATTCAAAATATTTAGATTTTGGCCACAGTGCCGCTAACAAAATCAACCAACCGTCCATGGAACTCTCGGTATTTTTTTGTTGAACCCCATTTCCGTTCCCTCCAGTTTTTTCTTCATTTGTGGGGGAGATCTTTGGGCAGTGAACGCTAGACTAAGACCAAAGTGTACAACAATATGACAAAGATGAGGACAAGAGTCCGAACAATGTAAATAGTGTAAATGCCAACACATTGATAACCAATTTGTACCCGCCATTTTTTTTTTCTAATTGGACTCCCCCACTTGCCTTGCCAGAAATACTGGTTCCATCCCTGTTTGATCAATGTGTGGCTTCTTGTATTCATATGCACAACTGTTTTGAAACTCAGTATTCGAAATCCTGGCTTTATACTTGGTTTTGAACACTGGTTTCTTGGCAAACATGGATAAAAGTGTCTGCGATATTTTTGTAAATTCTTAAAAACAAAATCTATATATTCACTTTCATTATATGTTTAGTTTTTATTTGCAATTCTAAAAAGTTGCTTTTAAAAGCAGTAAACATTACCGAAGAGTGAAAGTCATTAAAAAAAAAAAAAAAAAAAAAAAAAAAAAGAAAGAAGCGGTGTCATGGGAAAAATCGTCCTTTTGACACTACGTCATATTGCGGGCATGCTTATCCAAATTTACCGATTTACTTAAACCGGTGGTTCAGATATGTAACTATGTCAGCCGAAGTAACTTGTTCGTAATTGCCATTTCTACGTTGTTTACATGGAAAATAAGCAGACAAAAATAGAGAACAATCTTTTATATGGCGTATCCCTTAAGGACGTATGCGGTCATGGCTCTCCACAACTTCTTATCTTTTGTAGCTCTAAACAATCTGTCCCCTTACTATCTCTCGCCCTCCATTTTGCCATCCACTCATACTCGTTAAGTGGGTTGCTCGTTATTTCCGCCTGGTTCTATTGCTTTCAACAAGTTCCCACTCGCCATTATGTGTCTCCACCCCCCCAAAAAAAATCCAACCGTTTCTTTATTATAAATATAAATGTCCTTTTGTTCCCATTTTCCTTAAAACTTTCTCGTAGTTCACATACATTCTCAGTATCCTTCTGTAGAACCACATTTTTGTTGCATCATGTCTCCACTTTATCACCAAGGAAATTGTCCAGCATTCACTGCCCTATAAAATGACTGGCTATTTCACAGCAGTTGAAGACTTGTTTGCTTGTAACAATTTCCGTTTCTTAATACTTTACTTAGCTTTTGGAAGGCATCTTTAACTGTTCCAATATGCTTTCAGATTTCGAACACATTTTCCGTCGTCTGTGCACAGATGTATAACTACTACCTTCTCATATGAAACAATGAAATAAGTCACCAGAGAACTGATGCACAGTTGACACTAATACCATGCAAATTAAAATAGGGATCATTGGCGGTACTTTACTGGGAACGTGACTAAGTTGCGTACATGCGAGAATGGGTGTCTTTAATTGTGGTTTTATTAAGAAATCCGTGAACATCATCAATTGATGATTTAAACATTTGCTAACGATACGTCACCATTCATTTATGATTCAAGTAAGTCTAAGTGATTAATTGGCAACTCCGAGATTCCTGTTACGTAATTGTGGTTACGTAATTTCCTAGAGTATTTGCCCACAAACAAGGCTGGAAGAACAAGCTAACGCACGCATGTCGTATATACTCGTATATATGCCGACTTTATTTATAGTGCGACTTAATCCTTCCGGAAAAAATATTAGCTGTGTATAGAGCAACCATTCACTGAAAATGCAAGAGTTTTAAACTCTTCTAAAGCATTTTTTTTTCATATCACTAGAAATAGATTTCTACTGATCTAGAGGGAACTTTGTCATGTCCATAAAAATATACCTGAATAAAAGAAAATTGTAATGTCAAAAATAATTATAATAAAATGATAATTATAATTAAGTCACTCTTCCTAAACCAATGAAAATCGACTCCACTTTTCTAGTTTTAGTATTAAATACTATATTTTTAGTGCTAAAAATAAGAACTAGACAAGATATCCCGAGACGATGGACAGTAGAACAAGAACAGTTTACCCCCTGTAGGCTAAATAAAGGATTCAGTTCGGAATTCCCTGTAGGTTACCCAGATCGATGTACAACTAATGAAGGCCGAAGAGCACAACGACCGTAACATGATAATTACAAAGATGAGAACAATAGTACGAATGTAAATAGTGTATATAAATTTTAGGTTTGATTTTTAAAGCAAGCAGGTCTTTCTTTCCTGTAGAAGACTTGGCGCAGTAAAATCTCCGATCTTTATTTGGCCTTTGTGACATCTTGAAATGAACGAGTTTATTAAAGAGCTTCATTTAATAAGAATAAATAGGTTCGGTTATCGTCCGGTTCACACTCCTCCTCGGTCTTTTAAACGGGATTAGAAGTTTATCACTTGTTTGCTGTTCCTTCTAAAGTCTGATTCAGCTATATACTACTAGCGATTGTTCATTCTTCCGTTAATGACGCTTCTACTTTGAGTGGCTTTTGCATTGGGTGAACATTAGTGTAAAAACACACACAGGAAGGAATTCACTGACGAAAAGGTAAAGAACAAAAGGCGAAAAACAGGATTTGCAGGATATTTTTTTTAAAGATCTGACCCAGTTTCAATGCGTTTAATGACTTATTTTAAAAAAAATAAAACAGAAAAATTCAGATTTATAAGATGAGTGATTTATTTATTTTATATCTCAAAATGGTCTTACAATTGAGTTCTCTAGTAAATAGACACATGTAATGCATACAATAGGCAATAATGCTAGTATTAATTCCTAACCATTCGTCATTCTTTTGTTTCTCTTGATCTTCAACGTAAGATTGATAGCCGAAATTTGCTTAAAAAAAAGTGGGGGATTCATTTTTTATATAAAATGATAAAGGCATTTTCAAGTAGAGCAACTGTAAAGTTGAATGAGCATTGATGATAAATGACAATCTTGCTTGCTTATACACAGAATTCAATGTGGTGCAAACTTTGAACAGATGGAGAGCAAAAATTTAAGAGTCGAAATTTTGGTTATATAAAAATGTGTGTGAAGGGAGAATATGAATTAAATCTGACAAAAATATTAAATAAGGAACAAACCATTATAAATCTGATATGCTTCATTATTTATTCGAATCCCCCCGCAAAAAAAAATTCTGATGAAACCGAATAGAGAAGCACGTCAAATTTATAAAGGTTTTCTTACTTGTTCCATACTTAGTCATATATATATATGTGTGTGTGTGTGTGTGTGTGTCTGGGAGAGATAGAATTTAAATGAATATCACAGCAATATGCGCCGAATTCATTCAGTAAAAGCAAAATAATGTTTATCCACATTTAAGAAAATTCCAAGAGAAAGAGAAACAGAATCAAAATAAAAAGTAATGACCCGATGTTTAAACACAAACACTAAAAATGAGTTCGCCAGATGCCTAAAACACTTATTTGACGCAATAAATAATTTTCAGCCTGAGCGTATTTAGAAAAGAAAAATGCAGATTAATTCAGCTGTGAAATATCTCGATCGAACAAGTCAAAATTTCAGATAAAAATTTCGGCTACAGATCTACTGGACCACTCATATATATATATATATATATATATATATAAAAAATTCAATCAAAGTTTGTTTATTTTTCTCATTTTTGAATAAGATGAACATCGAAATGAAAAAATGTTGATAAACTGTTCGAAGTTCAAGTTTGTTCTGTACTTTCGACTGTCTCAGTCATGATCAAGAACTGAGTGTTGTCAGTATGATAGAAAGGATTTTATTGGTTACATCCTGACATTTCCCAGAGCGCTGTTTATCACAGTGACAGCGTTCGGTTCTTGTTCATGACTGGGACAGTCAAAAGTACTTGAACAAAAACAGAACAAACCCTGAACTTAAGACTGTTTACAATTTTGATTCCGGTGTACAAACATCTTATTCGAAAAGTGGAAAAAAAAAAAAAAAACAAACTTGCTTTGTGATTATGACAGCTGAACAAAAAGTCATTAGCTTGAATTTTGATCTGACACTTTCATCTATGTGATTTATTTAATAACTGAATTAAACTCCTTGTTTGTTAGTGTGGTTACATTGAAAATATTTGTTGTGTAAAATAAGTGTTTTTTTTTTTTCTTTCATTAAGCGACAGGTTTATGTGTGTATTTACATGATCTGCAGGCAGTCGTACCATTGGATCATCCTGTCCATGTCTAAGTTGCAGAAATCAGTTTAAGAATTTTGTAAATTTATAAATCGTTAATTTATTTTATTTTTTCCCTACACAGAACATTTCTCAAATAACGACCTGGCTCATGTCTAGAAATAAATGAGCTGAGTATGTAGGCATTTCACGAATGCGCTTATTCTAGAAGCGACATTCATTGTCTTGTGAGCGATGTTCACCTGGTCGACTGTCGTGCGCATGCGTCAAGTAACTCGAACAGAAGATCAAGATATTGCTCAAGACTTTCATTTCTTCCCTAAATATTTTTCGATGGACATTTTGGTATATATATTGGAAATCTCAATTTTTTTCCTTTTATTTCTCAGGACATTATAAGAAGTTTTTAAACAATTTATATTTAATTTTGAATGAAAACTCAGAAAATTTGAACACTGGTCCGAAATCAACTAGAAGTTGTATTTTGGGACGGAATATAGATGCTGGTAGCTTCCTTATTATTTTAGTAATTTCATGAAGTAGAATTTTTTCGTTAGTTTTAAATTCACTTGTTATTAATCGCTTTGTAATGTTAGAGAACAGTTTTGTAAGAAAAAAAGTTTGCGCAATTATATATATATATATATATATATATATATATATATATATATATATATATATGCGCAATAAACTAATAAAAAATTTTTTTTTTCATTTTTTTTTTTTTTCCTTTACACTACTTGCTTTCAAGAATGCAGAACAGTATACGTTGTTTCAAGTGTGATATTTTACAAATACAACCTCACTGGTTGCTGTGCGTTGAAAATATGATTGTACTAATTTGGCTCTGAAATATAAACAACCTTATTAAATTCCATAGTAAATATATGCATTATTTTTTTCGTAGAGGGATAGTTATCAATATCGATTTAAAAAAAACAAAAACAATTAAGATCAGCTTTTGTTCTTCATTCTAAAAGCTAATAACACGACTTTCCGATAAAGAGAAAAAAAAAGGGCCCTTAATATCAATAAAGCATTAATTGGATTGTATTTTGCAAGTCGGTATTTGTCACAGTTCCTAAATATACTTAGAAAAATGTTAGAAACAGAATAGTGGCATTTTGAAAACCACTTTCAACATTTTGTATAAAATATATATTTGAGCATTTTTAAGTCGATTAAAAACTTCAAGCAGTCCGGAAAATCTTGTTATTAACCTTAAAATAATTACGATAGCTGCACCCGATTGTACTGATGGATTTTTCCATAAATTTTCATATGGTCAGTCTATATTTGATAAAATATTTTTTACTATTTTGGCACCTTGGAAAAATGGAGAACAAGTCTTTTTTTTCTCCGTGTTAACCAGAAGTTTTGGCTAGGTTTATATTTGGTGATTTCATTTAGTTACAGTTGTGGCCAGCCAACTGCTAACGTTCCGATGACCCGACAAATTGAGATTAGCTTTTTGTTTTCAGATGTGCCAAAAGATGTCTTAGGCTAAGAATTCCTTTGTATTTTTCTTTTAATTCTTTTTACATCCACGTGTCGAATATATCGAAGACATTTTCTGCTCCAAATTTGTGGTCGTTTTTCTTTTTGTCCTCGTCATCAAAGTCATCGAGCGATACCTCCACGAAATCATCTGAATTTCGACAAGACATCTGCAAGAAAAATTCAACATTAAATTAAGACTTCGAGAATACAAGTTTGATAAAATTTAAAAGTAAATTATCAACCTTTAAAAAGGTGAGGAAATTTAAAAATAAAAAAATAAAAAATAAAAAAATAAACGAAAAATAAACGAAAAATAAACATTAAGTAGTGAAAAAACAAAGAGGCATATGTAAAAAAAAAAAAAAAAAAAAAAACAGCGGCATATGTAAAAAAAATAAATAAATAAATAAAAATAACGAAAAGGAGGAATGTGCAAAAGCTTAGCATCGTGAAAAATAAAAAGCACAAGAAAAAGTGAAAAATATTAACAAAAAATGATGCGAAGTCAAAAAAATATAGGAAGAAATATCAAAAAGTAAATGAAAAATCTTCAAAAAGTAAGTGAAGAAATAATGTAAGATATAAAATTAAATGTAAAATCTAATAAACTAAAAGATGCGAATATAAATGCCGCAAAAAGTAAAAATAAATATGAAAAGTTTAAATATTTTTATAATTTATAGTTTTTGCAGATTTCTTACGAAAAAGTAAAATCTAAAACGTCAAAGAAAAAGTTGGGAAAAATGTAAAACAAATATGAAAACTAAAAAGATATAAAAAAACTAAAAAAAAAACGTAAGACTAAAAAGGAAACTATATTTCAATAAACATATTACATCTTCGTTCCTTTTTTATTTAAATAAAAGATGTAAAATCTAAAAACAATGTATTTAACAAATGTAATATTAAAAAAAAAAAAAAAAAGATGTAATATTTTTAGATAAATATTACATTTTTTATCTAAAAATATTAGATCTTTTTTTATATACCATTTTTAGATAATATACTTTTTTTTTTTTTTTTTAGATATTGCACCTTTTTTTAACAAAAATAATATCTAAAAATATATGGAATATGTTAAAGAAAAAGAATAAACGTAAAACGAGTGAAAACTAAGAATATAAAAAAAAACTGATACCATCGAGAGAAATTTTTTTTTTAAGCGTTTCACCCCAAGAAAGGCGGGAAGCTACTACGACGCAAGGGGTTACAGAAAATTTGGAGCAAGATCAGATAGGAGTGATAGAAGAAAGAATGAGGAGAAGGATAGTGGATAAATCAAGGCAACTGGAGATGTCGATTGACATTACATTTGAATAGCTGGAGATTATAGCTCTCAGGGAAACTGGAATAGGGAAGGGAGTTCCACAGGCAAGAGGTGCGAGACATGAAGCTATTGGAGTAGAAGAGACGGCTACATTTAGGAGTTTCAACAGTGAAAGGGTGAGAGCGAGATGCCAGCCTCGTAGGGCGCTTGAATTCATGAAGTCTGGGAACCAGCGAATGCAGCTCCTCGGAGCAATTGCCATGAAAGTATTTGTTAAAAATGAGAATCACTTGGCATAATTAATCCTTGACAAGAATGTATAACAGAATTTCTTATTCTACCAATACAACGGATGATTCCCTAAGGCGCATCCACTTAATGGATGGAACCGCCGGGACTTCATTTTGACAATGTGAATGTTATTTAAGAGAAAACACTTCAGAAACAATAGCCTGGTGGAATGAAACGTTGGTTCGTGAATTTGGAGGCTTAGAAATGGCGAGTTCAATCCTTGGGCTGGATAGTAGAAATGTAGACTCAGTAGAAACAGGGGGGCACAATAACTGAAAAGAATATCACCTGAAAAACAGCCTGAACATAAAACCTGTTGATAAGGGGAATTGGAGAGCCATCATCGCCTACGTCTTGAAAGGACACAGCACATAAAAAGAAAACGATTATATATATATATATATATATATATATATATATATATTAGTCTCGAGTCTCCCCTCCCGTCGAATTCGACGTCTGAGGGTCAAGCAGATCAGTTCCAGGAAACCGACAACAGCGCATGAGATTTGTTTATAGTGGTGAAAGTTTCGTGCAGGACCATCCACACTTTTTGAAGGGCCGAATACAGAGAACTGGTGCATTACGTGCCACAAGGTCCCCAAATGACCCTCATCAGGTTTTGAATTCAGAGTTGTCCTTCTCCTAGGCCAGTTGCCATCCAAGGCTATAAAACCCAGTCTGTCCTGCTATTTACTCTGGGTGGGACACGTATGTACATGTGTGTGTGTGTATATATATATATATATATATATATATATATATATATATATATATATATATATATATATATATATAAAATTTTGTGTACGTCTTAGTGGTATAAAACTGAGAACAAAATGTTTGCCATTCCGTTCTGTCCGTGAAATATGGTCTTATTATATCATGGATATAATGATGCCCATAATGGGGGAAATGTAAATGGAAGAAGAAACCTTTCTACCATAGCTCTCTCGCTCCCGTTACAAGTGGTTTGATGTTTTTTTCAAATTCTAGTAAGTGGGGCTTTGAATAAGCGTTGATGTTAGAGAAGCCTGTGGAGGGGGTTAGGATTAGTCTAAAATTTAGTTTATTTAAATTAATAAATGAATGGTATATAAACAGTCGAATCCATTACATTCACTTACGTATTAATATGAACCCTCTTCTCCTCCCAGCTATGGGTAAATAGCAGGACAGATCTGGTTCTATAGACTTGAGTGGCAACTGGTCTACCGCAGAAAAAAATGGCAACCTACTGCGGGGAAAAAATCTGTCTCGTCAGTCATGGCACATAACTGATAATAACAACAAAGAGTAGCGCGTTAGTCGGAATGTAACTTTAGAGACAGTAGCCGGCTTTGAACCTAATCAGGATTAAGCATAAAAGTTCACATTGAAGCAGAACTTTCCTAGACTAATAGACAAAACCACCACAGATTCATGAGAGTGAATCAACCTCAAGTTGAAACAATAGACGTGCGAGTTTTTTTTATCGGTTAATGAACTCTGAAAATTCTGGAGATCAAATTGCGTGAAGCGAGGAAAAGATTTCAAACAGGATTTGATCTCTCATCTCACACCTCCGTAAACGATCTTTTGATGTTCTATGGTTTAAAAAAAAAAAAAAAAAAAAAAAATGCAATAAAACTAGTTATATAAGAATAGTAACAAAGCTATAGAGTAAAACTAGTAATAAAATAATGAAGAATGTACTGACCTGGAATGTTGGGATAAAAAGGAGCAATAATAATAATAATAATAATAAAATAGTATAATGACCTGGGATAAAAAGCAACAATCATAAGATGGAGTAAAATCAGTAATAAAATAATAATAAAGAATAGTGTATTTACCCAGAGTGCTAGGTAGTGGGAAATAATGATAAAATTTGTAAGACACCTAGAAAATTATTGGTAATAATGAAGAACGTATTGACCCAGTGTGATGGGGCCACAAGCAACAATAATAGGGTGGAATAAGCCTAGTAATAATAGCAATAATGAACTGTGTATTGAACCAGAGAGTTAGGATAACAGCAATAATAAAATGGTGAAATACCACGAGTAACCAAGTAACAGTTCAGAATAAAAACTGGTAGATCCAGAAAAACAGACGAAAAAACATTGATATTCCTTGGCAATAGAAAATAAAGAAATTTAATAAAATACATTTGCCTTGTAGTTCGAATCAATTTGTCCAGTTCGAAATTCCAACGTATATTATCTGAAGAAGGCCGGTGCGTACAACGGCCGAAACGTCATGAATATGACACTAAAGATGAGGACAACAGTCTGAACAATGTAAATAGTATAAATTGTCCAAATTTGTTAGGCAAGTGTAGTCATTATTAATCATGTGCCATCTCTTCAGGACGTAGGCGATCATGGCTCTCCACAAATTCCCATCCTTTCTAGTAATGTTTGCCTCCTTACTACCTCGCGCAGTCCCTGTTCTGCTACACACACTCATAGAAACTCGTTAGGTAGGTTACACTTTTCCTCCATTGACTTCAGTATGTCATATGAGTATCAAATTCTCCATGCCTTCTTTCCTTATGAGTTACAGAATGTTTTTACCGTCTCTTTTATAAAACTAAGTACCAGAGTCCTTTTTGTTTCCATTTTCCTTAAAACTTCCTTGTTGCTCGCATCTACCGTCTATTGTATTCTCAGTATCCTCCTGTAGCACCTAACCACTGTTGCCTCAGATCTCGCCTTCTTATGCGAGGAAATTGTCCAATATTCACAACCATATGAGGACTGATATTTATATAGCAATTCAGCGTTCTTTCTAACTAAGAAATGTTCCTGTTTCTTAATACTTTGTTTAACTTTTGAGAGGCACCTTTTGCAGTTTCTATACCCCTTCAGATTTTGATGTCACATTTCCCATTTCTGTTAAAACACTTTCCAGACAAACTATTTCTTTTTTATTTTCTGGTAACTCATTGTCGATAGCCATGTCTTCAAGACAAGGAGATGTCTTCTCACCGGATTTATTTAACCTTTACAGTGAGGTAATCTTGAAAGAATTAGAAGTCCTACCAGGATTCATTATTGGTGGCCACAATCTTAACATAAGATATGCAGATGACATACACAGAAAGGAAACTGCAAGATTCTCCTACAGAAGATAGAGAAGGAAAATGAGAAGAAAGGACTAGCCATAAATTATAAGACAGAATGCTTCTTTCTCAGTAGAACTACGAATTAGAAACACCAAAATCATGCAAGTACAAAAATTTAAATATTTGGGAAGTGTTTTAACAGAGGACGGAAAATGCGACACCAAAATCCGAAGACTCAGTGGAATAACAAAAGATGCCTTCCAAAAGTTAAGCAAAGTATTAAGGAACAGGAAAATTTCGTTAGAAACAAAGAAAAGAGTACTGAACTGTTACATAATGTCAGTCCTCCTACATAGCAGTGAATGATAGAAAATCTCACCAAAGACGAAGAAAAAACTTGAAGTAATATAAATTTGGTTCTACAGAAGGATGCTGAGAATATCAGACTGAACACGTGAATAACGAGAAAGTTTTAGGGAAATTGCAAACAAAAAAGATATTTATAATTAAACAAATGAGATTTCTAGGGCATATAATGAACAAAGAGTATAGTGTCGTGG